AAGGAAGGGAGGGAGGGAGGGAGAGAAAAAGAGGGAAGAAAGGAAGGGGTGTTCATGGTAGAAAATCACACAGCTTTTCCTGGGCCCTGGAGAAATACAAAGCCGGGCTCCCAAAGTTTTCCTTTCCTGCTCCTTTCAAAAGGACAAAGCCTGAACGTCTTTGCAGAGAAGCAGCCAGCCTCAAGGGACCAGCCCGTGTGCCTGGCAGCTGAAAGGAAAACCAAAATGTCCCGGGCAGGGCTGACGCGGACTCTTACGGAAAGAGACCGGGCTTCAAAAGCTGTGGACTGTCGCATTTCTTGGCCCGGCTGGCCCCCCAAAAAGGGGAGGGAGGGGGAGGCCCCTTTTGTGAAGAGGCGGCTGCAGCCTGAAAGCCGGGGTGGTTTTCCCGGGTCAGGTCGAGCCCTCTGACAGGCAGCCTCCAGCCTTGCTGAAATGGTTGCCGCTTTGCAGGCGACATCAGAATTGCTGCCTTAGCAACTGCTTGCAGGGTTTTTTTCCCCCTCTCTCTCCCTCTCCCTCTCCCTCCTTTGGGCTGAAAGCTGCAGGCCGCAGCGGCTTCTGCTGCCGGCGCCGTCACCCTCCTCGCATGCGGGCGCCAACGTCCTTGACCTCTTCCTTTAATTCATGTCCAAAGGATTCCTTGTTCGGACCATGCCTGCCGAGCCCGGCCCTTCTGTCGGCAGTAAGGGCGCGGCGTAGGGGCTGTGGAGGCTGAAGGGTTCCCACCCCACCGCATTTGGTCCGTGCTTGCCTGCTGACGGGGGGGAGACGCTTGCCCCCCGGCCTCTCGAAGGCAGGCAGGGCATCAGGGGGCCCTCCCCAGGCCATGCCAGGGTAGAGGCGCCACCGGCAGAATTGGCCGCTTCCTGGCGCGCCTCTGCCCTGTCCATCAAACCCAGCTCAGGCCTGGTTCTCTCGGCCCCCTCGATTGAAGCTCGGCTGCAAGAATCTCCCAGGCCCTGGTGGGGAATCGAAAAGGCTGAGTTGTGGGGTGGGGGAGAGCACTTCTGCTCCGGGTCTAGCTTCCGGCAGTCCCCACGGCCGAAACCCCAGTGGCTTTGGCCCTTCCTTGACTCCTCCACTTTTAGGGGTCAAAAGACGCAGCCTGCGGGCATCGCCAGCGGGCTCTTCATGGCAGGAGCGCCCCGCACGATGCCCTCCTGTGGTTCCCCCGCATCTTTTCTCTCCTGGGCTGATGGTGGACTTGGGTGGTGTGTGTCTGGTGTCTGTCAATGTGTATCTATATTACTTCTGCCCCTTTTGCCTCTGTTTTGCTCAGGTGGCTTCGGAGCTGCTCCAGTGTTCGGCAGCCCTCCCACCTTTGGGGGTTCCCCTGGGTTCGGAGGGGTGCCAGCATTCGGTTCAGCCCCAGCTTTTTCAAGTCCTCTGGGCTCGGCGGGAGGCAAAGTGTTCGGTGAAGGGACCGCGGCGGCCAACACGGGCGGATTCGGGTAAGCCAGCGAAAGGGTCTCGGGGCCTCCAGACCTCCCATCCTTCCACCGATCCCCACATGCACATCATCCCTTCTCCCACCCGTCTCCCTGCCTCGCCTTCGTCCCCCCGGGATCTGTCCCAAGGATGAAAGGCCATTTCTAACCCCATCCCCTGGACGCATCCCCTTTCCTGGGAGGGAGCAGGGCGGGGCCGGCCAGGAGCATTGTGACATCCCAGCCCAAGCTCCGCCCCTTCTGCCTTTCTGTTCCGTCGTCCTACGGGCGTATCTAAGAAGCGGCGCTTGGATTGCAGCGTTGCAACGCCACGTTCTGACCAAGCCCCTGGGCGCTGCCACTGTTTCAGTCCTCGACCCACCCCCACGAAAAAGCATTGTGGTCTTCCTACCGCTCACGGGTCCCTCACGCAAGGATTTTTAGCAGCAGGGATGAGTATCAACAGTTTGGGGCTGTATTAAGCGACCTTTCCCCATTACCCATAGAGGAGAATCTCTAGCTCAGGGTTGAACGGTGGAGTCCTTGAGGTCCTCTGAGCTTGGTTGTTTTCTTGCCGACGTTTCATTACCCATCTAGGTAACATCTTCAGTGCTAAAAGGGAGTGGAGTTTGCTCAGATGTTACCTAGACGGGTAACGAAACGTCAGCAAGAAAACAACCAAGCGAAGTCCACTTTCCCCATTAAAAAGGGGAGGGTATAAACACCACGAAACAAGTTGGAAAAATACAGTCAGATGCTCTGGGCAGACCCTGGATCTTTTAAACACGTCGCCTGCTTTGAAAAAAGAAATTGCAAATGGGCGGTTTCTGTTCCAGGCTCACTAGCTGCACTAACTCACCACTAAAGAACCAGCCTCTTTATTTCTTAGTTAGGAATATTCAGCCCCTGTCTAACAGATCCTGTTTTGTTCTCATCAGCCCCAGGTTTAATGTCAGTTCAGTGATTTTCCTTGGCTGGTCCCTATCAAAAATGGGGTGGTGCTAGAAAGAAAAGAAGACCATTATCTCCTTCCCTTTCAGATTTTTTTCAGTCTTTGCTGGGTCTTCTGAATGTCATCACGGCTTCCTGCTGCTATTTAAAGGAAGGGTGGCTGAAACAATCACCCTAAAGTTTGACGCTTGTATTACTGAGTCTTCTTAAATTCAATCATTGACCAAACTAAAAGAACCTGAGAACTATAGATTAGCATACACAGCCTGAAACCCCAAAATTGCCATTGAAAAAAACATTCTTCCGCCTCATGGTAGCTCTTAACGTAACAGAAAATGTAATGAGAACTATTGAGTGGCGTGGGGGTGGTAATATTAATGTTTTATTTAATTTAAATGTAATCAATCAAATTTAGGCTTTGCCTAAGTCTTCCCACGTTTTACAGTGTCAGCTGTAAAACGGTTGGAAAAACTTGGTTTCCTGGTTAGATTTGCCCCGTTCATCCGAAAGTTCCTTAAATTGATGTGATTTTTTTTTCCTTGCTGGTTTTAATCGCTTGGATTTCACATCCACACGTCCCAGTCCAGAGTCACAGATCAGGCATCTGTCCAGCAAAGCAGGTGGTATCATTTTCAGTCATGGTGGACCTTTAAGCAGGTTTATCCAGCTTCCCAGAGAGGTTGGTGGCTGTCATTTCTGGCAAAGGGATGCGACATTTTGTACACATCAGGCCATCATCTTTGCCAGGATAAGCCACCGTGCACGCATTTATTCACCCGGGCGTTTATTAACCAACATCCCTTATTCCCAGCCTGTGATTTGCTTGGCAGTTTCCAGAAACAGTAAAAAAAAATTACAAAAATTTTTTTTAAAAAAAGCAATCAAACCGGTTTTTAAAAAGCTGAAATTCCCAAACAATTAAAAAGCAGGCGCATAATGCAAAACAACACCCCAGGCTGCCTTCTTAATTGCTAACGTGTGTTGTCACAAAAGATTAGAGGTGAGAAAGAAGCTGGATTTCAGAAGCTTTAGGATTTGGGGTAGTAAGTAGGGGAATATTCTGTGGTAGCGCGAGAAAATACAACACCCCTGGATCGGCTTACTGCCATGTCCTCCGGGCATCCGATGAAGTGAGCCATAGCTCACAAAAGCGTCTGCCTTTTTATCAAAAGTGTTAGTCGAAAAGGGGCCACCAGAGTCCTCCCAGCTGCTTGCCACCAATCGACTAACACAGCTTGTCCTCCTACAGTGCCCAGGTGAGTCAACCACTTGGATCCTGTTGGGATTCTGAGAGCGAGTTGTGGGCGCTCTCCCAAAATGGCCGCTGCGGCCACTACGCCCATCACTCCCTAAGCGCATGGCGGGGTCTCCACTCCAGGTGGGCCTCTGGAAAGAAAGGGAAGAGAGCTTGCCGTTTTCGTTATTTTGAATCAGAAGGACATGGCATAGATCAAGCTACAGCAGGGAGGCCTAACCCATGGATCGCCTAACCCATGGAGAAGTCATCAGAGAGAAGAGATAATGGCACTGGGAAGGTATTAGTGGAATCCACCATGCATTGAGAAGCTGGTTTGTCAAGAACCTACTCTCTCTAGCCTAAAAAGGAGAAAAATAGGGACGGAGCAGATTTGGGAGTGGAAGATCTTAGCTAGTTTAAAGCACGCAACTCAGATCTGACAGAATAGGACAGCTGTGTTCAGCGGACAACATGACACATGATTCGGGAGGTAAAAGGCTAGGAAGATATATTCCTCCCTTCCTGTCCCCTGCCAATGTGACTGATTTGGCAGAAGCGGGCCCTTTACGCCATTCCTGGTTTAAGGTCCAGAACTCAGTAGACCTGGAAGCTGGGAAGGATGATAGAAACTCTCCCCTAAAAGATGGCTTCCATGCAAGGTCTAGTCACAGTAGGACAGTGTTTCTCAACCTGGGCAGCTTGAAGATGGGTGGACTTCAACTCCCAGAATTCCCCCGCCCCCCACAGCGGGTGGGGGGATTTTGGGGGTGGAAGGCCCCCCTCCCTAAAACACCCCCGCTGTGGAAAAAAGCCACTAAGGAGGGGGGGG